TTAAGCCAACCAGCCTGTAATTCTTTGCTACAGTAGCCCTAACAAATTAATACAAGCTAAGAGGAGGAAGTAGTCCTAGCTAGTTAAGAATTCACACACTGTCAATATTGTCCCAGAAAGAAGAAGTCCACTAACAGAAAAAAAGGGTAGAGTTTCTGATACATGGTGATTATGCCTTAAATCACACTAAGTATTTACAGGGGAAAATATAAGAAAAAATGAAGGGATACAATATTGGCAATTAGAAAAGGACAGAAAAGGTTAACGCAGCATCAGTTTTGAAGAAAAGCAAGAATAAAAAGAGAAGCCAACCAAGATGTATCCTCTGCCTGAAATGAAAGTTAACCAAAGAGTAAATGAATTATCTAAAAACAATTCAGCAAAGCAAGAGAAAGCAATGGAAGCAACTTCGGATAATTACTTAGAATTAAAAACAGTCGTGTGTATTTTATTTTAACGTTCAGCTAATGAAATCCTTGATGACTGACAAACAAAAAACATTTTCAGGCATCAAGTGAAAAGATATTTCCAGTGGCTTCTAATGGAATTTTGCTTCTTTGCAGGCTTCCTAAGGTGGGGTGGGGGTGGGGGGACCAGCTAATAATTACTAGTCATTTCATACACAATACTTTTTGTCCTGTGTCCAGAGTTTTTTTTAAAAAAAAAGGCCATAGCTATCCAGAAGAGAGTGAGGTGGAAGGGAAAGCTATATCTCTAACTTGCAGTGGCCAAGGGGGCACCTGCTCCCTGGTGCTAGGTTGGCCAAAGTTCACGCAGAGAAGGAAAAAAGCTAGAGTAGAAATTCATCATTTTATGGTAAGATTTTTAATGTTTTTAAACATTGCTTCAATGTTTTAATGTCTTCTTAAGTTTTAAAGTTATGGCTCAATGTGGTGGTTCACACCTACAATCCCAGCACTTTGGGAGGCAGAAACAGGAGGAACATTTGAGTCCAGGAGCTCAAGACCAGCCTGGGCAACATAGCAAGACCCCCATCTCTACAAAAAATAAGAAAAATTAGTTGAGTGTGATGGCGTGTGCCTGTAGTCCCAGCTACTTGGGGGGCTGAGGTGGGATCCCTTGAGCCCAGGACTTCAAGGAGGCAGTAAGCTATGATTACACTATTCCAGCGTGGGCGCCAAAGTGCAACCTCGTCTGTAAAAAAACACAAAGTTATATCTCATATCAAAGTTGTATAATTTTTCTTTTGAGACATAATGTTACTTCTTTTCAGTATAAGAATATCATTGTTGTCCTACACCACAATTCTTTGCTTCCTGTATTATTTTCAAGTGTGATAAAATGTTTCTGAAATACATCTTCTTTGTCACTAGAGCCATTAGCATTATGAACACTAACGGTGAAAAAGCTCTCCAACTGTTTAAGTGTAAGACTTTGCAAAACAAACCTGAATACAGCTGCATAATTTGCCTTTCTCCAGAAAAGCCTATTAAACTTTGTTGGCAATGGATACAAAATAAAATTCAAAAATTTGCATTTTTAGTACTTTTGGTTTCTTGACCTTTATTTGAATTTGAGACTAAGCTTTACCAAACAACAGAATTTACACAGTAACTAGCCAACCACAGTCCTCATTATGGAATCTATGCAGTGCATTTGTTACCTAGGAAACGGACCAGAGCACAGACAGAGTGCAATTTCAGTCTAGCAGAAGAATTCTCCAATCATGCTAGTAAATAAAGTCCATAAATCAACTAATCAGAAGCAAAGTCAAGAAGTATCAGGTAAGAGTTAAGCTCAATGGAAACTTTTTACAGGAAAAAAAGAAACCTGTGGGGCTTCCTCACACAACTATGGAGATCTCTTAAGTAAATATTATGAGCAGGTTTCTTTACAAACACAAACTGTCAGAAAATAAACTGTTCAAAATAAATGGCTTCTCTCCAATCCTCAGCTTCTCTATTTTTGACAGTATTTAAGAGAAAAAGCTTCTTCAGAGCCAGCCTCATACATCTGGTACCAGAATATTAATCCAAGAATGAAATCTGCATTTTCAGCAAGCAACGTGGGGTTTGTGCTGTTCTTAAACAATACAGGATGATGATAAAGGCTGGAATGACAGGTCACTGTCCACACCTCTCACAGCCAGACCTGCTTCCTCACCAGGCTACAAAAAAATGTGAAAAAGAAAGACTTGAAAGTCACAAATCTATTACAAAGAATAAAATTGTTACTTTTTGGCTTTCCATTTATTACTAATGATTAACACTAGTCATTTGGGCATTCAAATGACTAGTTAACAGAAAGTGGCCATTTTAAGCTTCCTGTAATGATACCACATTGATAACCAATAAACAGGAAAACGCTAGAAAAGTCCATGGATTTTAAAGCCTATCTGTTTTAACTGTGGATGGCTTAACGTTGGTTTAAAAAGAGAAGTTGGTAAATGTCAGCTATATTTAAAAATCAAGTTTTATACAAATACAAATTTTCTGGAAGTAGCACTTATTTGTCAAAATAAATGAAAAAAATTTCAAACATGAAAAATGAAAAATAATTTATATGCCTTCCTGAACAGCAACTTACCAGAAAGGAAATCAGTTAAAAATGTGTAAGGTTCTCTGGAATGCTTCTGATTACACTATTATTGCTAATTATACAAAAAAAAAAACCAAAAAATTAATATCTACATATCAGTCCAAACTCCCCCCCCTCAAAAAAAAAACAGGTGTTATCTTTTATCCAGCCCATATAAAGACTACACTGACGATCTCAGAAAACTTAGGCACAACTACAACTTTGCCAAAACAATTCTCAATACAAGCCACACTGTTAATGCTTAGTTTAAACAGTGACTCTTTGTTCAATCTTATCACTATCACTGACAGCCCTGTAAATACATAAACAAGCAATTCAATTGTTAGTTCATCTTTTTTTAATACTTTTAGGAGCTAAGGAAGAGTATATATAGCTAAAAGCTGAAATTCCGAGAGTAGGCTAGAACTCCATTCCTGGATTCACGATAAAGCCTGACCAAATTTCAACGCCTCTCCTCTTTGGGCTATTATTATGAATGGAGAGGGAAAAGGAGCGCTGGTCAAGGGCCTACCAGAGCCACATACTGAGCTCTGTACCTCTGTGCAGAATTTAAATTAATTTACCTAATGCAGACTGTAAGTTAAAGCAGGAACTAGTAAAATTTTATCAACTAAAAGAGGTTGACTTGATTACTGCTAGGGTTTAAGTAACGTGTGTAAACGCACACACTAGGCATTTATAAAATTAGGCATGCAATAATATTAATCTGTTAAAGTAACTGGGGCAAGAATCTAGGATAGATTTTTCTCCTAGAAAGAAGCACTATTTTAAGCATACTAAACGGTTTTTTTAATAATGGCAAACATCAGTTTGTTTTTTTTTAAGTGCATTAAATTGTATACTGTTTTCTAATTTTTAAACCTTAATGAAAATTTAATACATAATTTTCCACGTTTTTCCTTCAAGTTTAGATAATGCTTTTTGTTTTAAGAAAGTCTCTTTTTTCTACATATGGCTGTCCATCTAATTGTATGCATGTCCCCCAAAACCGCTTCTTCCTTTTTTTTAATCTCCCGGGTAACTGTCAGACTTAAGTTTGTCAATATAAATTCTCATACGGTGGGCAAAAAAGAGTTTCCAGAACTGAGCAGTAGAGTGAGATTAATACAGTTATAAATCCACACCTGCATTTTAAAAACCTGAATCTGTAAAATTAATTTTCTGGGGGCTTATTCAACTTCGTTTATTGTTTGAATATCTACAAATACACGGCAACCGTTCATGAAGAAACTTAGCTGGCTAATCAAATAAGACGAATAAGAAACATCACCCTACAGTATTTTTCAAAACACTGTATCCATGTCCATGTACAACCCAATCACTGGGTTATATAGAATAAAATAGGAAAAGCACAATCACAGGGGGAAAACTCTATTCTGGCATTCATGGCCTCATGGGTTGTGAAAGAGCTCATATCTTAAACCAGCAGAAATAAAGGCTTCAGCCTGAACGGAAAGCTAGATCATTGTTTACTGCATTCCAATTTAACCTCCACCATGGAAGCTGTCACTACCTGACTGACTTGTTAACTGTTTATTTTATCGGGAGAGGATTCCGTCTTGCGAATCCTAACGAGTCCGGGAAAAAACAAAACTACTCCATAACTTAAAAAAAACACACACACTCACACAAAATAAACATAGATAATTGTAAAAATCACAGCCATGTTCCTTTTTTTAAAAAAAGTCCGCATCTAAAACCGTAAAGAAAAAAAAGACACGAGGGAACCAAAAACATTCTTTGATTTTGGTTTGACGTTGGTCAGTCCCACCTCCTCCTACCCAAGGGAATACATTTTTCGATATATTTGATAACAAACACAAACCACTGTGCGCAGCCTCAGACGGGGGTGGGGGGGGCGGAAGAGCCTTTTGGAGAAAGCCCTCCTCCGTTAGAAACAATAAATAAGGGAGTAAAGCCATACACATTCCCTCACACACTCCCCAAACGCACCCCCGCGAGCCTCCCGAGGAGGGAAACTAGTGGGGCAGAGCTCTTCCTCCACAAGCATCTCAAGACTTGGAAACTAACAGGGCAGACCTTTTCTTCCTCCTTCCCGCCCTCCTTCCCACCTCCAACAGACCCAAGAGCAGGAGTAGGGGCGCCAGCTCCACGCACAGCGCCCGCAGGCGCCGCTGAGACCCGAGCTGCCGGGTGGCGGGCGGCCCAGGGCAGGAGGACTGGAGCCGCCGCCGGGGGTCTCCGCGCCTCGCACCCCCAAGCCCGGCGCCGCCGACGAGCGGCCGCCCGGGTCCCTGCCCTAGCTCTGGCCTCGCTCCCCCGAGAGGAGACAAAAGGAAGGTTCAGCCGGGTCACCGCGCGGCCGCTGACGGGGAAGCAGAGCCGACCCCAGCGCGGCCGCCCCCCACACAAAGGGGCTCCCCGCCCGGGTCGCCGCGTCGGCGCGCTCGTCCCCGCCCCGCGCGCGGGCTCTCACCCACCTGCAGGTGTCTGTGCGTCGGTGCGTCTGTCCATAGGAACGCGGGCGGCGGGGGGGCCTGCGGGAGCCGGGCAGCCCGGGCTGGACGGGGCGGGCCGAGGGGCGCGAGGGCGGGAGGAGAGCGGCCAGAGGACCGGGCACCGAAGGCAAGTGGCGCGGAGAAGCCGCCCGGCGGGCGGCGGACCGAGGCGCGGGGCGCGGGGCGGGGGCGCCAGCCTGGCTCGGCCGACCGGCGCGCGCCGCTCCGTGCGCCCCGAGCTCCGCGCGCCCGGCTCGGAGCGCGGCGGGCGGGCAGGGGGCGGGGCGCGGGCGGGCCGGGGCGGGGCCGCGAGCGGGGCGGGGGCTCGGACCCCGGGCTCCAGCCGGCACCGGAAACGCGCCGTGGTCGGCAAGATCCACAGGAAGTGTGTAACGACACCTTGTACGGCACGCACCGAGTTCGCGGTCGTCGCTGCCCGGAGAAGGTGTGGATCGAGCCTCCAGCTGCACACACGCGCGCACGCGGCGGCCGGCGCGCTGGCCCTGAAGGTTTGAAGCAAACCCACCTTCCGCGCGCACGAGCTCAGAGTGCTGCCCCTGCAGGTGTGGAACCCGCTGTCCCCGCTATGGCTGGAGGAGGTGTGCAGCACTGCCTCCTACGACACGTCCCGGGCCCACGTTCCCCAATGCACTTCGGAGCTCCGTGCACCTCCGCCGAAACGCAAGGAGCAGACAAAACCTACACCATCCGTGAGGTGTGTGATGCCCCTTATAACGCACTGAGTCGAATCACCTCTCTGCCCAGGGATGTGCATTAACACCTTCCAGCGACATACTACGCACAGCCCCCTATCACCGCTGCCCGGTGAAGGTGCCCAACATCCGCCTGTAACACACACACCCTTATCCCATCGAGGGAGCGGGGATGCTTGATGACACCTACAGTACCCTAAAACTAGATCCTCCAGTACACCAGAGACACAAGAACACCACCTACGCGACTCAGCACAGCAAAGGTGAGAGTGGACTTGCTAGGTGCAAGCAGGCTTAGTCCACCTTTATTTTACCTAACACTTTCATAGTACTTGCTGTTTGCCCACAGTTTGCACTAAGTGCTTAGCGAATGTTAATTCATTTAATACTAAGAACTCTACACAGTGAGTGCTATTAACATTGCCATTTTATGGATAAGGAAATTGAGGCACAGAGAAATTAAGAAATTTGTTCAACATCACATGGATAGTAGCTGGAGGAGCCCAGATGCATTCCAAACAGTCTGGCTTCGGAGTCTCCTCTTAACTCCTTTTCTATTTATAGCACTGACCATCTCCAAAGCAATAATCATGGTAATAACATTTACAGCATATCTGATTGGCTTTATGGAGTGCCTATATCTTGGCCTCTCCCCACCTATAACAGGTATACCCCAGTCACTTGTACCCTTGGAGTAGGTAAGGAATGAGAAGAATATTCTTGAGGAAGAGGAAGAGGCTAACTTCTTAGCAAAGGAGAAAATATCCAGGGTCATCCAGAATCCACGCAGGTAACTTCATTGCCACATCAGCGTGTTTTCTCCTTTAGGGTAGCTTCTGCCAACCCCTCTCCATCTCCAGAGCTGATTCAGGTTGATGTTCTTAACACCTTCCTCTATCAACATTCTTCCAGGTCTAGGCTGAAAGTTAAAATCTGTGTAAATGTTTTGGACACAATAATGTTTATACAAACAAAAAAGACCAAAAATGAAAACTCCCTAGTTAACTGCTGCATATTCTGAAGATGGGATCTTGTGGAGAAATTGGAACTCTCATGCAATGCTGATAGGAATGTAAGATGGTACCACTACTATGCAAAACAGCGTAGAAGTTCCTCAAAAAACTAAAACTAGACCTACCATATGACCCAACAATCCTACTTCTAGGTAAATGTCCAAAAGAATTGAAAGGAAGATATTGAAGAGATATTTGCACACGCATGTTCACTGCAGCACTATTCACAATATCCAAGAGGTTGAAGCAGCCGAAATGTTCAACAGATGAAGATATAAATGAAAGTGTGATATATACATACAATGGAATATTATTCAGCCTTAAAAAGGAAGGAAATCTTGGCTGGGCGCGGTGGCTCAAGCCTGTAATCCCAGCACTTTGGGAGGCCGAGGCAGGTGGATCACGAGGTCAAGAGATCGAGACCATCCTGGTCAACATGGTGAAACCTCGTCTCTACTAAAAATACAAAAAAATTAGCTGGGCATGGTGGCGCGTGCCTGTAATCCCAGCTACTCAGGAGGCTGAGGCAGGAGAATTGCCTGAACCCAGGAGGCGGAGGTTGCGGTGAGCCGAGATCGCGCCATTGCACTCCAGCCTGGATAACAAGAGTGAAACTCTGTCTCAAAAAAAAAAAAAAGGAAGGAAATCCTATCAACAGGCTACAACATAGATGAACCTTGAGGAGGATGTGCCAGGTGCACTAAACCAGTCACAAAAGGAAAAATACTGTTACGATTTGACCCATATGAGGTATATAGCTTAGTGAAACTCGTGCAAACAGAAAGTAGAACAGTGGTTGCTAGAAGGCAAAGGGAGGGGGGAATGGTGATATAATGTTCACTGGGTATAGAGTTTCAGTTTTGCAAGATGAAAAAGTTCTAGAAATATTTCACAATGAATATAACGCCACTGGACTGTACACTTAAAATTAGTTACAAAGGTAAATTTTAAATTATTTTTGCCACAAAGGACTTTTAAAAAAACAAATCTAATCTTATTTGTTTAAAGGATATTTCATCATAAGGAGTTTTTTAAATGATGCAGGCATCTAGCTATGATGAGGTACCTTGTTGAACAAACTAACTCTGCCACTGAGAACTATAAAAGCTGTTTAAATAAATAAATAAGTCTGTTTAAAACTATTGGAGAGCAAGCTTGTCATCCAAGGCTTGACAGTCCAAGAGCCCAGGAAAAAGGGAAATAAATTGAAGTGAGTCCTGTGTCCTCGGCTTTACTTCTCAAAGCATTGTTGATTTGTGTCTAGGAGTTTAGAAGTCAGCAAGAAGCACCCTAGAGCTTACTGACAGTCTTATTGATTTGGAGATACAACATTTGGAGTCAAGTCTATTAAGGCAGCTAGGACGTGAGAAACCAAGATCTGAGAGGAAGCAATCACGGTAAAAAGAGTCAAACACTGTACATGCCGTTTCCCCTCAGAGCACTTGCCGCTTCCGAACCTGCACAAGCGAGGAACAAGAAGCCAAGAATACATCTGGTAAGAAAAAAAAAATCAAGCTGGAATCTTTGGTTGCCTCATGGTGCTGGAAATAATTAAATAGAAAGGAGGGTTATTGGTAAATATCCCAGACTTTCTATTTAGACCCTTTAACAACTTTGGCCTGAGAGTAAAAGAAAATCAAAATTGGCCCCCATAATGCCTAAAACACAGACTTGAACTATCTCAGTTTCTGACTGAATCAAGGTGATCTTCCCATGTTCTGTCTGCCAGGAAAAAAATATTTGGTGGAAAAACCTTATAATTTTTCATATGTGACACCCAGCAATTCACCAACAATTAACAAAATAAAGACTGAACAAAAGCTAAGAAGAAAAAAAAGGCAATAGAAACAGATGCACACATGATCCAGATACTGTAGTGACTAGATACAGCCCTTTTGAATTGATATTATAAATACATCCAAGAACATAAATAACAGAATGGATAATCTCCCTAGAACTAGACTTTTTTAAAAAAATTGATCAGGGAAATGTAAATCAGAACCACAATAGGATACCGCTACACACCCACTAAGATGCTTGTAATAGAGAAAAAGTATTAGTAAGGATGCGGAGAATCAGAACTCGATTCTTCACTGCTAGTAGGGTTGTAAAAGGGTGCAGATGCTTTGGAAAACAGACTGGCAGTTTCTCATAAGATTAAATATAAAGCTATTCTATGATCCAGCAATTCTTCTCCTAGGTATATACCTAACTAAGAGAAAGGAAAGCATATGTTGTGATAACCTGATTTTTGTCGGCGTAAACTAACTCTCTCCTTAGCTAAGAGCTGTTCAGGCCTCATGTTAGCTTCTTTGCCAGACAGACTCCATCTTAGCTTCTTCATTTTAGTTATTCCCCTCATTAAGTATGTAACTGTAGTATGTAGCTGGGGCAGGATAACACCAGGCACATCCTGGAGTACATTTGCTGATAAGAAGCCAAGTTAAGCAGTTCCAGCAGAGCCTGGGAATGCAGGTGCTGTCGAGTATCCAGAGCCCCCATATCTATAAATTGTATATCTTTTTATAACAGCTCTAGCCGTTGCACCTGTTTTATTTCTCATGTATTAGTTTATCTTTTTAAGTATATCTGTAAGTTATATATCTTTTTATAACAGCTGTAGCCTGGTACTGCTTTATTTCTCATGTATTAGTTTATCTTTTTAACTTTTTTTTTTTTTTTTTTGAGACGGAGTTTCGCTCTTGTTACCCAGGCTGGAGTGCAATGGCGCGATCTCAGCTCACCGCAACCTCCGCCTCCTGAGTTCAGGCAATTCTCCTGCCTCAGCCTCCTGAGTAGCTGGGATTATAGGCATGCGCCACCATGCCCAGCTAATTTTTTGTATTTTTAGTAGAGACGGGGTTTCACCATGTTGACCAGGTTGGTCTCGATCTCTCGACCTTGTGATCCACCTGCCTCGGCCTCCCAAAGTGCTGGGATTACAGGCTTGAGCCACCGCACCCGGCTATCTTTTTAACTTTTTGCTTACTCTTCTTCTGTGAAAATTGCTTCAGCTAGGTTCCCTCCTCCCTTTTCAAACTAGGGTATAAGGTTTTCAAACTAGGTTTTCAAACTACGCCCTTAACTCTTTCTTCAGGGCCAAGAGAATTTTGAGGGTTAGCCACCTCTCGGTCACTGGCATAATAAAGGACTCATAATTCAATCTCAGAGTGTGGCGCATTCCTTAACTAGCTTGGGCATAACAATGTCAGTAGAAAATTTGCACGTATATATTCATACCAGGATTGATCATAACAGCCAAAAAGTGAAAGCAACCCAAATGTCCATCAACTGATGAATGGATAAATAAAATGCAGTATATCCACATAATGGGATATTAGTCAGCAATAAAAAGGAATGATGTATTGATTGTTGTAATTTTTATTATTGTGGTTTCTTTTTTTTTTTTT